CCCCACACCCCTACAAAACTGCAGATGCTGATGATCAAGTACGGGGAGGTCTCAGACCGCAAGGTGCTGGAGCGGCTGGTGGACGCCATCACGCGGTCCTCGGCGCGCCTGGCCGCCCTCGGCCTCGACAGCGGCTTCGCTCTGTCTGTGGGCGCCGGGGGTGGGGCTGGCGGTTACGGCGAGGCGTGAAGCACACGAGGTTGTTGGCTCGTCGCCCTGTATGGGCTCAGCGTTATCTGTGGCCCGGCTTGTGTGTGATTAACGTTGTGATGACCGATTGAAATTTGGCATGCGGCGGCGGGGTTCGGTAACAATGGCAACAGCATCACGATAGCTCCCCCACTTGGTCAATGGTGCGAGGCCTGCTGTACTCCCGCAAATCCCACTCTGGGCCTACCCCAGTGGGTATCTGTACCCTCAAAGGCCTAATGTCAAACTTTACTTGCATCATCAGCTTGTCTAGGCCCCTTCTCCTGTTTAGCAAACAAATAGCCGTGCGGCAGACGAGCAGCACCAGCGCAGCACACACAGCGCTCCTCGATCTGCCTCGCAAAACCAGAAGCTGCTGCTACAGGTGCCGTGTCCACTGCACGACTCCGTTGTTCGTGATTTGAAGGTCGAGCAGTATAAAGTTGCCCACGCAGCCGCCCAACAGCGCGCTCCCTCGGACCGCAACTCAGCAAAATAGCAGCACAAGCAGCAGCGGCACTCGGCAGTAGCAGTGCTAAAACATTATAATTTCTACTAGCAAGAAAGGAGCAGCAGCCGCCTTTCGATCAGATCGCAGCAGCTGAGTCGCGATGCAGGATACACTCCTTCCCCTCCTTGGGCTGAACGTCCGCGTGCAAGTGCATCCGGTAGTGCTGCTGGCGATCTGCGACGCGTACATCAGGCGGAATGACAAGCAAGAGCGCGTCATTGGCACGCTGCTGGGTTCTGTAGTGGATGGCGTCGTCTCGGTGCAGCGGTGCTACGTGGTGCCACACAACGAAAGCGCCGATCAGGCAAGCAGTCGCTTGCGGTTCTTGTCGAAGGATGCACTTGTGCTGTTGGTGCGCCGCCGTCGCCGTCGTCCCGGCACCTGCATGTGCCGCTTGCGCCGCTTGCAACTTTTTGCACTTTGTGCTGCACCCCACAGGTGGCAGTGGACATTGTGCACCACAAGACCATGCTGGAGCTTCACCAGAAGGTCGCGCCGCAGCAGGTCATCGTGGGCTGGTGAGCAGCGGCAGATGGGCAGAACGGCGCAGGCCGCATCTGTGGCACGACGGCGGAAACCAGCTCTGGCAGGCTGAGGCGGTCCCGCGTGCTAGAGGCGGTGTGCCTAGACATATGCGTATCGGACGCACAGCAATGCCTTACGTCTCTCTGGGCAGGGGCACTGGTGCAGAGAGCCGTTTGTCTCTCACAAGCACACGTGCGCGTGCGCAAGGCCGTTGGCGGTGACGCGTACTCAGCGGCAGCACTCGGCCGCGCTGCCGGCCGCCCATGCGCCGCCACGACGCAGCAGCTCGCGTGTGCGCACCCCGCCCCGCAGGTTTTCCACCACCAGCAGCAACATCTGCAGCGACGCCCTGATCCAGGAGTTCTATGCAAAGGAGCCCACCAGCAGCTGCGGGCCGGTGAGGACGCCGATGCGGGGCGGGCGGCACGGCGCAAGCGGACCGAGGCGAAGCAGTTGCAGATTTTGCAGCGGTTGCCCAAGTGGCGGTGGGGCAGGGCGGCTCGAAGTTAGTGTTGACGCGCGTGCCTGCGAGGGCATCGGCACAGAGGGCGTCAGGACAGACGGCGCTTCGACGGCAGGTCATGCATGTCGGTCAGGCTCAGCAAGCCGGCACCCTAGCACAGCGCAAATCCAAGCCCGTCGCGCTGCTGCAGCGGGGGCAGCAGATCAGCAGCAGGCCAGCTGCCACATCCGCACAGCGAAATTAGAGCATCGTGCTTTTCGAACTTCCGCCTTGGTACCCTGTGCACCCTTGCAGTCGACCTGTCTGTCCTGTATTCCCTGATCCGGCTCGGACACAACGGCCTAAGGCTCACAAATCACATCACCAGACCAACACTTCAAATCTCGTACTGAACAATCTCCAGATCCACCTGGTCCTGGACACCAGCCTGGCGGGGGAGCACGTCGACGTCCGCGCCTACGCCAGCCGCGCGCTGTCGCTGGGCGACAAGGCGCTCGCCACCGAGTTTGTGGAGCTGCCCTGCGAAGTGCTCATGGGGGAGGCGGAGCGCGTCGGGCGTGAGCGGCCGGGCGGGAGCGCCGGGGGGCCGAGCTTGCTGAAATGCGGGTTGAGGAAAACGGCGGCCGGCGCTCGGCAGCTCAGCGCATGAGAAGCTGTGGGGCTCGGTCGCTGGCGAGCCGATCGGGGCGGCATCCAGCGCCTGCTGCAATTGATGCGCTCGGGGCGCATCAGCACAGCACTTTGCACAGGCGGTACACCAAAGTGTACCTTTTGCTGACCCCCGCACTCTCATAACACCCCCCCCCCTCCCAAAGTCAACCTGCTGGTGTCTGGCGACCACGAGCGCGGCAAGCCCCTGGCGGACGCGGAGGGCCTGCCCGCCAGCATCGCGCGCCTGCAGCAGCTGCTGGCCACCGCGAGGGGCTACGTGGAGGGCGTCGTGGTGAGCGCAGGGCCACAAATCCTTGCCCTTGGGACAGAGCGCACGCGCATGCAGGGCTGCCGGGGGCCGCCTTGAGCGGCGCAGGGGTGGAGGGGCGCCGTGGGCGCATGTGTTGCTCGGCCGGGGGCTTCGTATCCATGGGTGCTGCGCCGCTCGGGGCTTGCTTGCCTTTGGGGCTTCGGGTTGTTGAGGGCTGCGTCGAGGCTGTGGTAGTGGCCACGCCTAGCATCTGGCGCGGCTGCTGGTTGTTTTGTTTTGGCCGAGGGGTGATGTGGTGTCCAGGGGTACGGGGGTTGCACTAGTGACTTGCATCCCTAGGGCGGGGAGCCTCCACAGGTGAGGTTGGGTTGTGGATGTTGTTGGGACCAGGGGGTTTATCTGGCCCTGCAGCGCCACTGCACCCCCAGGGCTCGTGAATAGAGATTTCAGCTGTCGAGCCGTGGGGTGGCGGCGTTGCGACGCCTGCTGTTGCTGCACTGTGTTCTCAAGGGGAACCACAGCCTGCACGGCGAGCTCCATGCCTCGGCCTTGACGCGACCGCGGTAGCGCCTCGCCCTCCATGGAACGGTCTCCTACATTCTCATGGGCGCCACTCACTCGGATCTCCCCTCCCCCTCCCACCCCAGGCCGGTCGCACCAAGGCCGACCCCGCGATCGGCCGCCACCTTGCTGACACCCTGGCCGCCATCCCCCGCCTGGAGCCGTCAGACCTGGAGCGCCTCTTCAACGAGGGCATCCAGGACCAGCTTCTCGTCAGCTACTTCGCCAACCTCGTGCGCACGCAGGTCGCGCTCGCGGAGCGGCTTGGGACGGCGGCGCTGCCGCTGGTGTGAGCGGCTTCGGCGGTCTAGCCCTCTGCAACGCGCGGGGCCCAGGGGGCCACCCCAAGTGCCTCTCTCGTGCCGCGTGGGAGCGCGCGAGGCGCTCAACTTTTCTCATTGCGCCGGCGTCGCGCGTGCGCGCTTCGTGTGCGGCTTGAATGCAGTAACAGTGAACGAACCCTCACGACCCACCTCTGGGGGGTATCCGGGTGTTGATATGCTGTTCTGCACCAGCAAGTCCGCGATTGCAGCACAGAAACACAGGACACATGCAAAGACTTGCAGGAGCATGCACGGACCAACCATCGGTCAACAGCAATTTGTGCACTTGCTGCGTTACAAGAACTCCCTCGCCAGCTGCGCGTTGGCCTGCTGCAGCTTGTCCCAGAGCTCCGCAGGCAGCTGCTTGCCGTACCGCGCCTCCGACGCCTGCCCCACCAGCTGCAGCGCCGCAGCAGCCTGCAAATCAGCGGGCGCAGTCGGTCCAGTACGCTGGGCGGCCATGGTCTGCAGCGGCTTCACGCGGCATTGCAAACGTGGCAGAAACCGACACGGCTGGACTAATCAAAGCCATCTGGGGAGGGGGGAGCGCGCAAAGCAGGCGCTCGCGGCGCCAGGCACGCCAGGCGCCGCCCACCTGCGGGGAGTCCGCGCCCCGCAGCGCCGACGCGCGCTCCAGCAGCGCGCACGCCAGGAACACGTGCAGCTCCGCGCCCCTGGACACCGCGTCCACCAGGGACAGGCACTTCGACAGCGCCGCCAGCTCAGCGAGCCCCCGCTCCGACGCGCCCTCCCCGGCCCCCGGGCCGTCTGCCAGCTGCGTGGCGGCGCAGAGCAGCTCGTAGAGGTCATACAGGGCCGCATGCATGAACGTGGTGGTCGCGGGGTGCACGCCCGCGCCGGCGTGCTCCTTCAGAGCGGCCCGCGCGGTGGCCTCGACGCCTCGGAGGTGGTCCGCGGTGGCCGCGAGGCGCGCGTGGTCGCCGGACTCTGCCGCCTCGAGAAACGCGGGGCGCAGATCCTGTGGGGTGTGTGTGTGTGTGTGTGTGTGTGTGTGTGTGTGTGTGTGTGTGTGCGCGCGCGCGCGCATGCACACGCAGACATACGCAGGCGTGTACTACGCTGCTGTCCATCATCGGCATAACCAGCACGTGTGCACACACACACACTCACTCTCACACATCGTGAGTAAACATGCGCAAAACTGTACTGTACACATGAACGGCAACCTGTGGTCTGCTGACCAATAGCCCACGAATGGTGGGAGACACACCTGCATGACGCGTGCATAGCAGGCCGAGATCGTCCGCACCAGCGGCTCCGGCGCCGCCGCCTCCACGGTGCAGCGCTCGCAGCTGCACTCAAACCCCCAGCGCTCCCGCAGCACCGCCTGCCGCGCGGGCGCCGGCGCGAACTCCTCCCGGCCCAGGTAGCTGACGGTGATCTCCTCCCCTGGCGGCGGGACGTGTTGAGGATGCGACCACTTTCATGTGACAATCCAGGGTACCAGCTGTGCAAAGCTCCTTGTACAAGCATGGTTAACAATGTGGACCGCAGGAAGGGCCCGGCCATGTAAGTTGGGGG